ACTACCAACATGCTTGGCAAATTTTCTTTCTTATTGAAATTTGCATTTTGTCATGAGAATAGTAAGACAGTTGTTGCTAATTAACTGAACTAACAAAGTGTGCAAGGGATTCTGGTAGTAGTCAATGACTCTATGATGTAAGTGACCACCACCACCGTCATTAACACCACAACTGAAAAGTGGGTGAAGAAAGTTTTCAAATTTTATAAAAGATCTTCAAAAACAAAACAAAAAAGGCGATTTATTATTACATATTGCTGTTAGTATTATACTGACAAAAAACTTAGCTTGGGCTCATTGTGCCCAGAGATTTCCACTTACCTTCAAGTATTGCCTCCAAGTGCTCCCTTGTGTAGACAGACCCACATGGGTTAGAAGGATTGTTCACTATAATGGCTCTGGTTTTGGAGTCAATTACTGATTCAAGGTGGTCAAGATCAACTTCCCAAGACTTTTCGGGCTGCAAGCAATTGAATCATAAAAATGAATTCAAACTTTAAATTTTCAAACTTATGGGTATCGCGGTGAAACACAAAAAAATTACCAGTAAGTTGTAAAAGTGAACTTCGTGTCCTCTGGACACACTTATCGTCTGGTAGATGGAGAATCCTGGTAATGGTAGTAGGATGTTATCACCTGGGTTGACCAGAACATCTATTGCCATCTCCAGGGCATTGGAACAACCACTTGCAAAAATTACATCCTGAATAACAAACATACATTCAAATGAGTATCAACAGGCAGGTGATATTATATGGTTAGGACTGGTCATGTAGATGTAGCCTGTAGGGCACTCACCTCTCACCTCTGGGGTTTAGGTTCGATTTCCTGACTCGTCATCACATGATGAGTTTGTTAAAGATTGAGGTTGTTTGAGGGTTAAGCTTGATCTGTGAGGCTACTGTGCCAAGATCAGCCCAGAGGTAAACATGCTTCAGGATTCTATCTGTGAGTTAGCCATGCAAATATAGATAAGCTGACATGAAAATGATACTATTTTATGACTTTGTATGGTGTCTTTTAAGCCTGGTTGACAAATCTAGTGTCAGAATCCGAAGCAACAATAAGCAGACTCAGTATTGTAGTATACTGGTCATTAACAGTGCTTGTCTATTTTTCACACCCAGGTGATAAATGGGATTACTGGGACTACTTGTGAACCAGGGTTTAAAAATCTATAAAACAATGCCCGATGATCAATCCAAAAACTTTCACCCTAGGGTCAGGATATATAGCACCTATCTCATGGATCAATCCTTATCCAGTGGATAAGTTAATGCTGTTATATAATAAATCTATCCACTGGATAGGATTTATCTGTTGGATACCGCTATTCACCCTTCATACAACAACTGGGCCCAGGAGTCATTTGATTACCTTTACTTCTACTTCAGCATTAGGAACAGAACAAAACTTTGCCACAGCTTCCTTGGATCTAAGATAACCTATGAACAACCATATACTTTTGTTAGTCTCGAAGAACAAGAGAGAACTAACAAGCAAGTCTACTTGCATATGACCCCGGGGAGGGGGGGGGGGGCGCCCGTACTCCCATATATGGACTACGGGGATGATCCGCTGAACAGGGTATGGTTTTTCGAGCTTCTTGTCATAAACAGGGTATGCAATTTCACTCAAGTTCCAAGTTCTTCCTGAGTTTCCTGTCATATTCAGGGTTTCTACTTTCGTATTGACCGAAACTGGTTATCATGGTCGTCAAAAAAAAAAAAACCACTTGAAACAGGAACTCAGTGCAATTAACTATATCTTGTCATAAACAGGATACCCCTACTTTCAGAATCCCAGTGGAATTAACACCCCTACCCAAATCCTGGCAGAGTACCCCCCTGGGCATATGACATTTAGGCCAGGAATTGAACCTTAGTTTCATACACAGCCCATGCTTCCATTCCCTATGGACACCTCAGTTACTGTGGACAGGAGCAAAATAGAGTTTGACCATAATTATCTCTTGCTATTTAAGAGGATCGTTATTAATGACATTAAGTGACAGTTCCTGAGGGTGTCCACTGTAACGAGAGCTGGCTGTATTTGATAGAAGAGTTCATGATGGTAACATACCTGTTGATGGAGCATATCCATTATTAGTGCCTGCCTTTGCACTCTTTATCACTGCATCGATCATTTCCTCTGGAGGCTCTAGGTTACCAAAAACTGTTGGGTCACCTGACATTAAATAATAGATATTTAAAAAATCATTATTCCGGTATTTTAAGTAAGACAGATTTTGAAAATGTACTCATAATGAAAATTAACGCTAAGATCTGACGTTTCAGAGTCATCTTGACTCCATTATCAAGGTTTAATAACTAAAGTTTCGTCTCACTATTTTATGTTAACAAACAATGGGTATATATTGTCACAAATTCACAAATTAACAAAGTCAAACAAAGACTTTTGATCTAATTCAGTCAGATTGTGTGCTAAGTGTTGGATGGCTGTGTTACTGGAATAACCCTAGTATCGCAACTGCTGATTTCATTCTTTTTTGAGCTGTCAATCATTTTATGCTTGGGCTTATGCAATCCAAATAAGTCTTTGAACACTGCTTCTGCTATCAGTCATGTTAAAAAAAGTCTAAAATGACTTGAGAATACTTCAAAGAATCGAATTGAACGAATGAATGGATGGATGGATGAATTGATGGGATGAATGGATGGTGGGAGGGTGGGAGACATTGTAAATTTGACATTCATTTTTCTGTCCCAGACTCTTAAAACCTGCCTATAGATAGTGCAATCATTTTTTTGTCTGGGTTTGGCTTGATCTTCATTGTATCTACGATAGCTCTGATGGGATTGAACGTTTCTTTTGCTGTCTTGGAAGCTGGTACATGCCATTTCTTTTTCTTCATTGATACAGTTGATGACATTCTAATTAAAGAAATCAAATTACATGTTATAGTGCATATCATATAACATCTGTGAAATGTGCTTTGTAAGAAATTGTATGTGTAAATTTGTACAAATTAGTAAGTTCAGTAGACCGTAGACTTACAAACCTTTGCATTAATTTGTACAATTTTAGGTGAATATATAAATTAACAAAGCATGGGTCACAATTTCCTAGAGTTAAATTACTGAGATGCATTTTTGGGCCTTAGCTATTTTGCATTGAAACGTAAGATTTTTGCAATGCGTTAGTTGCTTTTAAGTCAGACGAAAATCCCGCTCTTTCAAAAAACTATGAAGTCAAAATACAAAAATATTTCTCTGCAATATATTATTGTAATATTAACAGTTACATACCGAACAGTTATGGGCTTCGAAGTTGGGCCTACTGCAGTTCGAGCTGTATGTAGCGTGCGATATTTCAACATTGGTAAGTTTGTTTGTACTGCATGGTCCACATGCAGACTCAAAGTAAGACCAAAGGGTGATGCAATAATCGTTCGATTCCCAGTGTCAATAACCATTCGATCGTATACGATACGTTTGGTTTATAAACAAAGCTCTCATGGATAAAATGTTAGATTTCGAATAGCTGCACGTGCAAACAGGCCGAGAATGTTGTATACTATACCGATATTTTCAATGAAAAAATATAAATATACTCAATGAATTAATTTAACAATCCAAAAAAATAGTTATTATTAAAAAGTATATTAACTTTATAAGCTTATAAAGTCAATATGACTAAAAATACTCATATGTAAATGTTTTATATAACATTTTTTTTCGCTTAAGAGCAATAATGTCACTCGATCGATGCGATTGCAAAGGGAACTGAGATATTATATGTGACCGGCAAAAAGGAAAAAATACGAGAAACTTGTGATATTCTTTAAGCGTGGGTGCTATTAAAGTAATTTACTAACTGACTCTGCGCATGCAAAAATCTTACAGAATAATATAGGCAAAAACAATGCACATTCTTGTTTTTAAGAAGGTAGAAAAGTTAACTGAAAATCATATATTTATTTTTTAAAYATATCTAAAAAAACTAAAAGTAAAAAAAAGTWAAAAAGTAAAAGTAAAAGTAATATCTCAAGCTATATGTCGAGTATTTTTGTCATGCTAGAGTAGCAGACCGGCATGCAATTTTAAGCAAATTGCATCGGCGTCAAAAAATGTCTACGGGGAGGTATCAAAATATTACAAGAAAACCATAGAATCTTAACTTAAAATGCTTAAAAAATTGTACTTGTTTTTCTTCAATATTTGTCGGAAATCATTGTGATTATTCGTCGTCTGACGGCATTTAGAATTCATTTCATTTTGTAGAGCAAACATTGCCACGTTCTACCAATTACTTAAGAATTCATTGTCCAAACGAATAAAAAAATGTGTCAATCCTCTTCAGTAGCCTACCTTTATTCTTCTCTGGTGGTTTTTCTCGTGGATATGCCTCAAAAAGGAATATTTTTGGCCAACAACTTCGTTTCTAAGGATCGACGTAGTGACTTTGCGTAATTTTACTTTTTTCTCATGGTTTATTCATTTCTTAACTCAACGCTGATTGGCTTAAAAAGACACCCCGCCCCTAACAAACCCACGACGTTTTTTTATCGACCAATCACATTATTTGTTATTTGCCGCGTATTCAATATGAAATTTTTGTCTCATCCTTCAAAAGAAACATTCGTCTAGGAAAATATTAGTATCCTGATAAAAACTTTACAAGTTAATTCTTTACCATTATTCATTATGGACAAAATCGCAAAAAAATCGCAGCAAAAATCGCTAGTGTAAACGGGGCTTAACGTTTCAGCTGAATGAACGGTGTGRGAGTCTTTCATTTTTCAGCTGGGACTGGTTCTCAAAATTTTAGTATTCATGACCTCTATCCGCGTAAACACGGAGTTTTGGCACCTCGCTATGGAAATAATCCAAAATAACAACTGAGAGTGTCGAGCGGTTTCTAGGAAACTGGAAAATACTGGAAATAATTCTCGTTTTATTGTGAAGTTGTATTTTGAGCTTACTTGATTTTAACGCTCTTCCTGTTGAATTTTTTTAAGAATTCGTAGCGAATTAAAACAATGTAGTGTTTTTAACGGGCATGAACAATAATTTATTAAAATGGTAATGTAAAAGGGTAAATCTTACACCGTGAAAAGATGAAAAAACTTACTGACTTCGAAACGTAAGTTTTTTCATCTATTTTCACGGTGTAAAATTTACCCTTTTATCATTCCCGTTTCATTAGAAACACCTACGCAGCTCACACTAGTTTTTAGCTAGTTGTTTCTTTTAATAATTTAAATGAGTCAGTTGGCCTAGTATAAGGACAAAATTAACAACACTGTTTTGTTAAACGCTATTTTTATGTAAAAATTAAATCTCAAAATCTTAAATTATTAATTTCTGATGTCCAGCTTTTTATAAAATTGCAATTTCATATAAGAATATGGAATACGATGTCAAATGACTAGAAAACAAGGAATTAACTTTAACATCTTTAAGCTAGGATGAATTTCTCACTCTTAAATATAAGGCTGCGTTCATAATGTATGGCGGGGGGGGGGGGGGGGGGGGCAGGTGAAATTGAGCGGGGATCGGGAAAATTTTGGTAGGATAGGGGGGGACTGGGAAAAATTTTGGTAGGAAAAATGGCGGGGGGGGATTCACAATCGTTGGAAGAAGCTACAAGCCTTGCTTGGGGGAGTCGTTTTTGCATGACTTTAAGGGGGGTGTTAAGAATTATTCTGGACATTTTGAATTTTCACCTGCCCCCCCTCTGCCATACATTATGAATGCAGCCTAAGTAAAGATAAGAGTTGGTGAGTCGGTGTGCATAAATTCCTTTTCTCAATAGCAAACATTTGCATGTCTCAGGAATCTTTCATTACGCTGTCAAGCCATCCCTTTTATAGTTCCCCCGAAGGCCTTCCCTGAGCATCAAAATGACACTCAATTTGATGCACCTGTAGGCAGGGTTACCTTTCAAGACGGCCAAGGGAACTGTGTAGACTTGTGTCATACATGTATTTAGGGTAGGAAGGGGGGGGGGATAATGTTGGTAGGAATCCAGACAAAGTTTTTCTGCCACCAAGTGGTGGTTAGGGCTTTGCATATAGAGTGCTCGCACTAAACCCTTGAATCTAAAAGTGATAACTAAACAATAGAAAACAAAGRATTCTGTATGAAATAGTACTAATTAGTACTAATTATTGTGCATGGGTTTGTGTGTACACTCTATAGCCAAATATGTTATTACTAAAAATTGAATAAAATGTGCTTGATGCAATATGAGGATGGGTATTGTGTGATGGGTAAGACAAGATGGATAGCATTTTCAAAGGGCGGGCTAGAGTGATATCGTCTGAAACCATCCTGTGAAAATGTACTGCTTTACCCCTTACCAATGACAGTGTGTTAAAATTTATAAATGGGCTATAATAAACAATATATAAAATAGATATAACTAGCTAAAAACTAGTGTGAGCTGCGTTGGTGTTTCTAATGAAACAGTAATGATAAAAAGGTAAATTATGCACCTTGAAAAGATGAAAAAACTGACGTTTCGGACGCTAGTCCTTTGACGAAGTTTTTTCATCTTTTCACGGTGTATAATTTACCTTTTTATCATTACTAATATATAAAGTACTAAAAAACAACATTTAAGAAGAGAAATTTTGTTTTTAATTGTAAGAATCAGGCAGAGGAATGAGTAAGTTCAATGTCTTTTGCATGACGAGCAGAAGGACAAGAAACATTTGTTTTGTAATCGTGGGTTTGAATCTTCACATGAACAACTTGTAGGAAATCATAGCGATGGTAACAACGATGGCAGCGGGCAGGAGAATTGATAACCTGAAAAAACAGAACAATGATTAACAATGTATCAGTATATAATACATAAATAATGGATATAGTATATGAAAATATGAAGAAAAAAAAAAAAAAAGAATGAATGAATGATTTTATCAGTAACCATATACACTTATTTCAATAAAAATAGTCAACAAAAACCTAGAAAGCTGAGATCACTGAGCATCATGGGAAACTTTTCATATCAAAAAAGCATATATATATAAAGCTTTTTTAATACAAACTGCATCTGGATGGTGCTCAGAAGAGGTGAGACTGTAAACTGTAAAAGATTCGCAAGTCCATGAACAGTTATCAAGCGGTTGAACGTGTAAAATGAATCTACCCATAATCCTTGTCGGCCTCAGCTTTATAGCTTTTCAGGTGACTACCTTTATTGAAATAAGTGTATCCGTGAAATAGCACAAAAACTAAATAGCACTAAACACATCTATTTCTTATGTTTTCAATTGTTTCATTGGTGCTATTTTGTACTAATTAGTTAGTACTATTTTATAAAAATATGATTTGCACTCTAAGCCAATGTCAAAAGGGTACTGTATTACAAGGATATTAAAATAGTTATATTAATATTAATGTTATTATTTTGATGTTCTAGCCTCTTATAACAGGCTAGGAAATCATRAAAAATTAAAATTAATAATAGAATGATAAATATTTACTATATGTATAGAGCCCAAAAACTGAAACCATGAAACCAGGATCAAAGACTGCTTGTGGAAACCAATAAGTACTGACAATCTGACTCCATTGCATGGTTTCAGCGTGTAGGCCACGTTAGAAATGAACAAGAAACTGGAACAAGTTCAGGGCACAGCTAACCCACAGCTAATTCACAAAACAAAGGATTTATTACAACCTCTGGTCTGAAACCCAGAGGCGAGTGCATGCAGTACTGCTACACTACATTTACCCTTGATTTATCAATTTAAAACAAGTTTACTTTTTCATAAAGTACTTTGACTTAATCTTTACCTGTAAAATAAGCTATGGATCATTGCCAATAGTCACTGCAATGTGCTGGAATGCCAATTTGTGAAGAATCTTTATTTGAAAATGGTACATGTATTTTCTTGTGTAATTGTAAGTTGTAATGTTGTAATTGTAAGCATGTATATTCTAGATAATCTTGATTATAGTGTATTTTAAGCTTGTTAACAGAGAAAAAAGGGGTACAAGAAAATGGAACCAAGAAAACGGAAGCCAGAGGAGTTATTACAGTGCGTCTCAATTGCCATATTTCACTATGACGTCACTGCTTGTTCAAGTGTGGGGGATAGAATCGCCAAATCCAATAGAAAATTCAACAAAATTTGCTCCAAGCAAAACAGTGAATTTGGTGAATTTGCGTTGATTTGACCCCCTCCGACGACCATGATCCTTTGCATTTAAGCAATAGATTGTTTCGATGTGACATCATAGTGAAATAGGGCAATTAGACACATGAAATTGTGAACAATTTTTTCAAGACATGATAGAGTTTTGGTTGATGCAAATCAAAGTGTTGTCGGAAAACACAAATCTTTTAAGGGCACGTGCTTATGGAATGTCATGGAAACGCATTGATTGACGTCCACCAAAGCCTACTTCGTCACGATGGCAAATTGTACCATTTCACGCATGTGATTGAGAAGCGCTGTAATACAGCTTGTAAAAGTAAGCTAAAGGTAGAGTGATTTTCCTTCACCCCTGAAAGAAAATAATCCCAGTAATACACAGTAGTAGACACTGTCAAATTCCATTGTTTTCTTTTCTTTTACTTTGACTTACCTTTGATTGTTTCACAGGCAAAGTAAAATCACTGTACTACACTAGTTATTTTGCTAAAGGTCAGACTATTTGAGAAGTTCTTTTTTGAGGCTATTATAATTACACTTACCATGATGAGCCACTTTCCTTTTTTGTCTCGTCTCCATAATTTGGTTTTTTAGACTAGGATGAAAAGTATAATTTGTAAGAAAAACATGCAATATCTATAATTAGTATAAATACACAGGTAATTATAGAAAATCTCACACGCTGATTGGTCAATAAACTCACACTATCACACGATAATCACCTCAAGTGAAAATCCAAAATGGCGCCCAGCCACTTTGTTGCTGTTACCGGAAAGAAAAATGCATTTTATCTTCTTTTTTTTCTTTTTTTGAAAGAACCACCTGTGTATTTATACTAAAACAATTATTTGCCTCAGGCTCAGTGATTATTGGGGAATATTTACCTTGTCGCTCAAAGACTCGCGTCTCGGTAAATATTCCCTGATAATCACTTCGCCTTCGGCAAATAATTGTTAAATAGTTTCATACCTTTAAAATCAACAATGAAAATTAGAAACTTCCAACTTATAGTTATTACATAGAAAGGGCATTACTTTAAGGCCCCGTCCACACGTACCCGAAAATTTTTGTATCTGCAAATTCTTTTTCACTGTCCACATGTATCCAGAAATTTTTTGATCTGCCCCGATGCATGCTAGTGCCTAGTCCCTTTGACAGATAGTTTTTCTTGTGTGCAAAACCGTATTTTCATCAGTGTATTTGAAAACTTGCAGATACAACCGTCAACACGTATTCAGAGTGTATTCGAAAATTTCCATTCTGGAGATTAAAAAAAATTTGCGGATACAAAAATTTCCAGATACGTGTGGACGGGGCCTAAGGCTCAAACTCTTACCGGTACATTATCTCTTTTATCTTCCTAAATGTTTAAAAAAATTAAGTCAATTAATTAGTTAACATTACTTAAGCCAAGCTGAATGAGTCTAATGCCTATACAATGCTCAAGGGAATGGTCATATGGTCTGAAAAGGGACAACATTGAGCCAAGCTCAATGGGTCTATTGCTTATGCAATGCTCAAGGGAATGGTCATGTGGTCTGAAATGGGACAACACAGAGCCAAGCTCAATGGGTCTATTGCTTATATAATATTCAAGGGAATGAATTATAATCAATACTTAATTTATCTAATAGCAACAGCACCCCCACTATCACCCCCTTTTGGTAAGCCAATCTCAGCCAAGTATAAATATTGTCCATTGAGTTTCAATGATCATTACCTCAACCAATTCTCCTATATGATAATCCTTCATTAAATCCCTAGCATCAGACGAATGACCAACATCTTCAAAGCTTTCAGTTGCATCCCCACCTATTGATTCAACAACAGCATTAGTAAATAGCAGATATCGGAGAACATTCTGTTGCCTTCACACAATAGACCTTTCCCGAATTCGCATGACTGACCACAAAACAAAGGTTTCAAGTTGAGGTTGAACTTGTTGAACGTGTCGGCTTCAAGCGAATTTGGGAAAGGTGTATTGTTTCAAGTCGAGGTATTTGGGTCAATACAATGAAATGTATAGAAACAATTATCTAAAGGCAATAGAAAATGCATAGTATTTACTTCTTTAGTTTTCAAAGGTTCAAAGGTTTTTTATTTCCACATATAACAATATAAATTAATATATAAAGAACACAAGGGTAAATTATTATGGTGGTAGAGTGCAGGAATACAACCCAAAGGGTTAATGAAGAAACTTCCCACGGCCATGTGCATGCTATTGGTGTACAATCTAAAGATTCAAAATTTGAAGCATTGTTTTATTTTGCTCCTAATTTTATCTCCGCTAAATAAATCCGAATGAGATTCGACATCGTAAAATATTTGACAGTCAAAGATTATTTGTTGCTCTAAAAGATTCTTATAAAAACAGTGTAATAAGCAAAAAATAAAAACCAAAGAGTCTCTGTCACAACCTTACTCCAAAATGTAGCGTAACATTAGTGTCATCTCAAGAGTAAATTGCATTCAAAATTACCGTGAGTTTCATCCATATCGTTCCAAAGTTATCGCCCGTTTAGTTCCAAAAAAATCGTGCGCATTGTCCCTATGAAATTAATGTTTTTTCACTATCGTCCCAAAGTTGCTGAAAATTACCGCCTCTATCGCGCCATTTTCCCCCCTCGCTTTTGTGCCGAGTTATCGTGCATACCGTCCCTATAGTCCTGATGGTATCGTTGTATTAAACTGCAAAGTTTTAAACTACCTTCTGTGATTAATCTACTTCACAATCAATCAATAATCCTATCATTTGTAGGTTTGCATATAAGAGATTTGACATTTCACTCCCCGAACTGTAATCGATGCAATAAAAGTGAACGTTTTTGTATGTTTTATATAGCTTGTCGTTTTTTTGTCTTAGTTTCTTTAATTAATTCTGCATACTTCACCTTTCACTATACTTTGCTTCTGTTTTGAGATTAAGATCCCACAATAAACACTTTGAAAAGCGTAATACGTTACATTTATGTTTTTTTTATTACACCAGTTTATCATCCCGCGTTCACGGACGATAGGCACGTCTTAATTAATGCACAATTGGGGCGAAAGATTCAAAATATTTGGTATGATATGTACAGAACAATCAGGAACTTTTGGGATGATAGGTGCGATACTTTTAGGCACGATAAGGACGATATGCGTGAAAAGTTTATCCTTAATTAGGGAGAAAGGCATGTTTTAACGCGGGTGAATTTTCTTGCTATTTTTCAAACGATTCTAATGCTTGTTTTTTCAACTTTTCTCTGGAAGTTTGAGCCCTAAGCTGTTGAAAGTTTCCACAATTGTAGGGAATTTCATGTGCACCTAGACACGACAACATAATTTTAATAATGACAGAAAATAAAGATTTCATTCGAAATTTACCTCAATCGTTTTTTTTCACAATTAATGATACCTGTTTTATTTATCTCTCTATATTCTTAACCTTTTGTTTTAAAGCAAAATCAAGTTATTTTTAAGATTTTTTCTGTGAAATTTCATGAACAAATGTTTTGTAGTTTTTGAGAAAATATGCAAAATATAGCGTTAGAAATTTGTTACGCTATTGTACACCAATAGCGTGTGCATGGCCCTACACCCTTTAGTATTATTAGGATAAAATATAGTTACCTGCTTGTTCTAAAAGAACCTCTTCACCTCCTGGATGCTGTGAATAAGAAAATAAGGTATTTAATTTAATCTTTTCAAGTCTGGTATACTAAGAATTGTGCCTTCTGATTGCTAGTGTGAGTGGTCATTGTGTTTTCTAGATGATTTCTGATATCATGACCTCAGTTTTCTGTCCAGTATCATGGGATAACAAATTGCTAAAGAACAACAAATAAAGATTGTAAAACAAGATAAAAAGTTGCTGGGAAAAAATAAAGAAGTTATTTACCATTAAGTTATTTCCCTAAAGTTTGTCCGGATAGGAAAAAAATGTCTTTGGCCTTGAAAATAGACCTCAATCTAATGGCCTTGAAAATAGACCTCAATCTAATGGCCTTGAAAATAGACCTCAATCTAATGGCCTTGAAAAT